GTAAAATCAACTCAGCAATGTAACTGGATATTTCCCGTCCTGTTATAGTGAGCGATATTTGAGTTGACTGTCATGCTCCGATGTTGATTCCTCACTACTCAATTCCCACTTTTGTCCCATCGCCTTCCACCTCCATCAACATCCCTCACACTCCGACTCCCTCTCAGTTTTCTTTGCTGGTAGTTGATCACTTTGTCTCATCAGATAAGCCCCACCCTATACCTATCTTCCTGGTCACGTCGAACCACCTTCTTCTGTCTTACCTTTCTCCTGCGCGATCTTGCTCCAGCAGTGACTATATCTCATACTTCCCACCCCACCGGAAGACAGCTGGCCCAGGTAACAAGCCTATACAGTTGAAGCCAGAAGCTGAGACTACCTTCCACATTGCCAGGCATCCCAACGCTATTTAGTTCAGCTGGTCAATCCCGTTCAAAGATATACCAGGTTCCTTTCTTCACCCAGACCACCGCCAGCTAATAAGTTCGCGGCGCGGTCCTAAGATACATACAGCTGCTGGAACGATTCACGCGTCTAGTATCGCTTGCAGTGGTTCATAAACTGAGCATCAGCCTGAGGGACGCGTCCAGGACCGTTCCTCAAGGTGCATAAGGGCGCGAGGTCGAGATGTTCTATAGCCATGAGAGTAAGTGGATGTAGATATGGACTTGACCTGAATCTGAACCTGAAGCTTTGCAAATGCTATTGTCGGATGACTACTGATGCACCTATTTGATTAGTTCTCACATCTCCCGAGCATGGAGTTGCTACGGTTTGGTGAGTTGTCGCATTCCCTCCTTAGACCTGTCTGCTCTATTATACTAATCTTGCAATCCTTTTAGGCTTGTTGCCACCCTGGGCTCGAAATCCGTCACTAGAAAGTTGAACAAAAAGGCTATACTGGATGTGGATGTCCCCAAGACGTGCGGTGTCATAATGGACCCGGTGGCGCCGATGGCTTTGAGGCTTCAGGGGAATCTGCTGTAAGATCTGCTGCTCGCAAGCAGGTCAAAAGGCTACTTTACTCATTGCATTATACTTTTTAGATATGGGGTGTCGAGGGTATACAGCCAACAGTGTGGATACACCCTCACTGATGTCCAAGCCATGCATGACAGGATGAGAGCTCTGCTGAAGGTTCTACCGGGAGGTGGTCTTGACCCTATGGCAGGGAAGGCTAGGTCTGTACTCCTGGTGTCTTAATACTTGCGGCCATTGCAACAGTGTCTCACTGCTTACCCTCCTTACAGACCAGATCAGCTCATTCTACCTTACGATCCGAGTTTCCTTCCTGAGAATAACCTCCCTGGCTTGGGACTAGATTTCTCAAGCTTGAATCTGTCGATTGACTTAGACCTGAGTCAACAATCAAGTCGGATGTGGCCGCAGACTCCTGATCTTAGCCAATCTGCTCTCTCTCAGACTGCTAGCCTGAAACTCGATTTGTCCTCTAATAGATCACTGGGGGATATAGATGGCTTCAGCGCAGGTACCAGTGTGAGCCGGTATGGAGGGATAAGCATCGACTTTGGCGGCATCGAGCCCCTTCAGCTTGGTGAAGAATCCGGAGTGATCCTGCAACCTGACTTCGAGTTTGACGAAGATGGAAATATCATAGAGCTTGCTGGATCCGTTCAGCCTGAGACAAGATTGCAAGGGAACATACCAGCCATGGAAGAAAGAGCTGCAGATGCCATGGAGGTTGATGCGACAGAAAACTTTGTCATGGAAGATCAGGTACGCTTCATCAATCACTTACTGATATTTCAATTGCCTGACAAAACTATGAAATAGCCGGCTTTGCTTGACGAAGGACCCAGGACAGAACTACCAGATCTAAAGCTAAATACTGAAAGAGTTGACATACAGAAGACCAACCAGAACCGCGCCTCTATATTTGACCAGGTAATGAACGATGAAGATACTGTGGAGTCGAATATGGCATTGCAGCAGAAGAGAAGAGGACCCAAGGTCATTGGCTTAGATCACCAAATTGCACTGCGAAACACTGAAATGGCCCATTTGAATAGTAACTATGTGCAGAACATGGCAGCAGCCTCGAAGCAGAAACAGAGAAACAAGCTTCCCACCTTGGCAAAGAAGAGGGCTGCCTTCTGGGTCTTCGGTCAAGGCATCGGTTCTGTCGGTATTGGCGTGGGGGTGTCTCAAGTCACGCACCCATTGCATTCTTTCTCGGGCAAGCAGCTGTATGAAAAGCTCCATGATGAGTCAAATGGTCGAGTACGCAAGCGTGTCCATCCCTCGATTGAAGGCGGGGATCTCGATCTCGATACCCGGCGTGTCCGTCCAAGGGTGGAGGATGAAGATCAGATCGGACGTCACGACGACAGGTTATGGAACGAGGTATGTATATGTCAACGTGCTCTTATGCTTACCGGACCAAAGCTGAGCTATTATACGCAGGACGTCGAAATTGGTCGCAATGCACCACCCTCACTTCGCGATGACCACTCCATTCAAATGCCATGGAACATCACAGCATCTGTCCAAAGCTCTCGACAGGGCTCGTCTGCTGCAAATATCTTTCGCGGTTTTGGCAGCGCCAGTGACTTTTCATCGCATGGCATTTCCGATACCGGATTTGGGAGAGCACGCAGCCGTCTCACAAGCGCAAGTCCTCTTGCTGGTCGTGGGTTTCCTTTCGATGCTGAAGCGCTCAACGTCCTCTCCACTCCCGGCAACGGATTGGGTGAGCTGGACAACCTTGACGACTTTGACATCTCTCAGTATCTACACACCGAGCTTGCGACAGAGCATGGCGGAGCCTTTGAGGACCGAATAATGGGAGCAGGCCATGAAACGCACTCTGTTGTTCAGGGTCTGCAAGTGCTCAATGATGAATCACAAAAGTCAACACTTGACCAAGAGAGCTTAAACTTCCTCAAGTACTTGGAAAGCATATTCATGGCCACGACACCTGCAAACGAAGAGGAAGTTTATGACCCGAATGGTCCAGCCGGAGAAATTAAATCAGTAACATTCTCCACACTCCTCCCTCCGCAGAAGACCTCTCACATCGTGGCTACTCAAGGCCTCATGCATGTACTTACCCTTGCAACTAGAGGTATACTTTCGGTACACCAAGAAGCCTACGAAGACCAAAGCACTGAAGAATATGGCGTGCGATATAAGTACGGAGAAATTCACATATGCATACCCGGATTGTCGGAGGCTACTGCAGCACAGCATTGATCGTCCGTTGTCAGACCTATAGGTGCAGAACCCCCCGTCTGTATTGAGTACTCATTTCTTTACTATTTCCTACTCCTGACTGTTTTGAGTAGAGACATGCACGTGTCAATCTATTCTATCAATTTTCTTATTTACATTATGTGAAGTACAAGTCTCCATCACAAAACGCTTAAATAGCTGATCTATCAAATTTACTGTTCATACTGTGTCTGAACCCCCAAGCCTCTCAATTACAATTTTAAAACAAAACTTTCCGACGCCTCATACCACTAAACCAGCATCATGACCTCCACCATGTTATCAGTACGAGATCCCAAGCCCATCCACATCAAGCTAGTAGGAAAATAAACCTTGCACAACAGAATCAAGTACGCATTGACAAATCAGCGCAGAGAAAACCCTATCGAAGACGTCTGAACATAAGAGCAGCAGACATACATACAGCTGAAACAAAGAGTGTGCCCCTCAACCCCAAGCAAACAACATACGAACTAACTACAAACGAAGTCGACGCAGTACAAGGCGTCGAGAAGAGCTCGCGATTGGCCTCGGAAGATCGGTGGGCCGGTGATCTCATCATCAGGATGAGGAAGATCAGATCAGGCCAGGCCAGTCTGATTCTGGGACAGGCGTAGTAGTAATATTGCAAGCCATAAAGCATGAACCTTTCAGTTTTATTTGAAAGTAAGTAAGTTAAGTCGAAAAGAAACATCGTCGTCATTTTTCCCCGGGTGTAAAAACAATTAAACGGTCTTGATTAGATCCATACCAGTATGGTATACGAGAGTACATAGTTAGTAGTAAAGTTAGTAATAATAAGTATAAGTAATACGTACAACGCTTCCCTTTATGGATGGATGCCGGCGAACCACTTAAACAAAAATAGTATACAGATTTAATACATGACGGCGTTTAACCAGCATAGTATTAGTAAATATTGGTTTCCGGATGTATTGCATCTTCAACATCGCACATCGCACAATTGAAGAATATTTTGTAATTCCACTACTATCTACATTTCTTCAAGATGATAATGATGACGATGATGATGATGTTCAGGGGGTGAGTTCGGTTCCTCCTCCAAGACACGGCAAGACACGCGAGGTTGGCGGTGGCTGTGCCGCGCTGCGTTCTTGCGTTCCTTACACAGCATACTACTTACTTACTGTGTGCTGTCACAAGAGGTTGCGATCGCGAGGAAATGAATAAATAAAATGTCCCATTTTTGCTGATAATTTAGATTCAAGACTCCCCGTTTATGTCTCAGGTTTGCAAAGAATATTAAATCTATTAGTGATGGGTTTAACGAATACGAACGGGGCATAGATAGATAGATAGACAACACAGCAAGTTTACTTCTTTTAGTATCCGCGCGGTCCGGCCGTTTAAGTGGTGGCCTTGTGAGACGCGGTATATCGAAACTTGTAAATGTGCCGATCGTTCCATACCCTTACGGCGATACCAGTAACACGGTATAACTATCTATCAGGTATTTAGGGTACGCAATCTAGATATTATACAGATCTAACTATAAATCTACAAATGCTGTGGAATAATCTCTCAAAAATGATCGACTCCCTTAGCTGCAGCTCTGCTCGATTTATTTGTATTCCCTGCTCCGATGCATTTGAATGGCCTACGCTGATAGGGCCTTTTCAAGCCTCCGCTTATTTGGGGAACGTGGTCGGGCTTTGGTCAGCCTGCCGCGTGACAGAATTTGACTTTGGGTGAGGCACCCAAGGCCGGAGTTGGACTTTGTTCAAAAGAGAACAAAGAAGAGGAAGATAATGAGGGATGAATGGAAGAGGCAGATCAGAAGAGGTGAAGAAGATGATCAAGCTATCAATGTATCTACACATGGTATAATTAGTTACTTTAGTAGTCTAGTAGTGTACAGTAAGTTGAGCAAAACCAGTAATATTAATTCTCGGTATGTTGGTTTTCTTGTGGACGGACCCCCTCGGGATCAAAATTACGCATATGGTAAGGTCTCGTCCTGACGGGCTCGCGTAACTTAACCGCCACCGTCTCGGTCTTGTCTTGTCCCCGTTTTGTCTCGTCTTGTTTCCTTCCCAGGCCGGTCAAACACTCTCTCTTCCTTTTCACTCTCGCTCCCCCGAGTCCTCGCTGCCTCGTTCCTCATCTTTGCTTTCCCCACGAAACGTCCGACCCAAACCCCCATCTCCATCCCCTGCAGCGGCCCTTCTCATCTCTTTTTCTAGTCGATTTTCTCCGGCCAATCCATCCACCATCGATTTCTTCAACCCTTTCGTCGTGAACATGGGTCGGACCGTCGACCAGGAAGTTCACGCGGCGTTCGTCGAGTTCCGCGCCAAGGAAGACGATAAGGTGCGTGACTCCTGTATTTCCCGTAATATTTCAACCCGCCGCCCAACACCAGCGTCACTGACATGACGAACCTGCTTGTTTGTTTGCTTTCCACAGTGTCTTTCCGTCCAGTGTATCTACTGCCAGCAGATTCGCGCAAAGAACACCTCACGCCAGAAGCAGCACCTGCTCGAGTGTCCCGGTCTCCGCGGCCACACCAACCCCCAGGCCCAGTCCCAGTCTGCCCCCTCTGCCCCGAATGGCATCGCCGCTGCCAATGGATACCCTCCCACCCCCAATGGTGCTGCGGCCACCGCGCCGGGGGCTGCTCCTGGGCCCGGTGCTCTCGCGACTCCCAACGGTCCCATGATGTCCAACGGTGTCAATCCTCATGCTACCCCGATGCAGACGCCATTGCAGAACATGCAGAGTCGCGCCTCTCTCCCGACATCAGGCCCGGCCGGAACCGCCTCCACCGTCTCTGCTACCCAGCAGGCAGCTCGTGCCACTCCCAAAGCGAAGCCTAAGAACTCGACTTCGAATCTTCCTGCCCCGCCCCTCGATGATGTTCATGCCGCGTTCGTGGAGTTCCGTGCCAAAGAAGAAGACAAGGTGAGCGAGGACATGGCCCGCGTGTTGCCCGATAGAACCCTATGTCTGACAGGAGACCCCCACCAGTGTCTGTCCGTTCAATGCATCTATTGCCAGCAGGTCCGCGCAAAGAATACCAGCCGTCAACGTCAGCACTTGTTGGAATGCCCCACCTACCTCAGTGTTATGAAAGATTCGATCCCCGCAAACAACCTTCTTCATACCTTCCCCGAAGGCGACGTGGCGCGTTCCCTGCAGATCCCCGCGCCTACCCTGGAGCTGGACTTCCGCATGAGCATTAAGATGAATCCGAAGGTGTCGGTAGGTGAGAGTATTTGGGGTCAACGTGATTGGGTAACATTCGTCGGTGGTCAGTGGGCTGGTCGATGGGGTAAGGGTGTCGTTCTGGTAAGTCGTGACGCGCAATTGGTTGCTTGCTATGATCAGCAACATACTCACCATGCGTATAGCCTGGCGGACAAGACTCGCAGGTCGTGACCAAGGAATCTTCTACACATCTCCGAGCGAGCTACATGCTCCAGACCGCCGACGATCCCCCCGCATACATTGTCGTGAAGACCAACGGCTGGTTAACCGGAGCCAAGGACATTCTGGACAAGGTTAACGACCCCGGTATGGCGGATAGCATCAACCCCAATACATACAAATATCGCATCAACTTGAACATGGAAACTGGAGACGAACGTTACGCGTTTTTGAACACTCTGATGTGGATCGGAAGTGGCTGCCGCAGGGGCCACGAAGGTCAGTGCTGATCCATCCCATTTACCCGGGCTTGATTCACTTTACTGATACCTCTGCAGTCATCTTTGATGCATTCCGCGTCAACTAATCTGCCACGATATTGCAGCTGTTTTGTCCGTTATTAAGCGAGTAGCAATTGTTGATTTCATGGGGGAAAATCGTTGTCTTGGTTGTTTTTTTTCTCCTTCCTTTCCACCTTTTGATTGGGCTTTGATCCTCTCTTCTGAAGTGTGGCTTGTGTATTTATCTCTTCGATCCATCCGCGTGGGTTTACCCTACCCTTTTCTTGGGGGAATGCCTGCCTACCTACCTGCCATTACTTCCATTTACCTTCACGAGTCCGCTTGATGCGTTCGTTCGAGGAAGTTTTCCTTCGAATGTCCTATTATGACTTGTCTTTGGGTTTCTTCTATCTCTTTTTTTCCCTCTTCCTTGATCCCATTTCCATTTTGAGCTGTCCGCTTTTGTAACTGGTATCCGTTTGACTTTCATTTCCTCCGTGTTTCTTTCTACTATTACATCTCCTAGGAAGCAAGATTGTCATCATGAAGTTTCTCCTTCACAACCCTGGTTTGTTTCTTCTCCTTCTACTTGTCGATTACATTCGACACTCACAATCCCCTTTCATCACAACCCTAATACGTTGAGCCAAAGCGTGTGACTATACACGCTCTCATCTTGTACCTCTATCTTATTTTCCAGAATGGATATTTGAATTGCCAGTTTTGATACCTGATAGATCTAGTTCGTAATTAGCAGTGAAACAGCTAGCTACCAACAGTAACTAATGAGACCCTGAAAACCCCTACAGGATAAAAGATCAGAGTAGTTGGGAGGTACATGCCTCCCAACATGATGCTAGCCTGGCCTACTACTAGTAGTATAATATTATCCCCAAACCGCCCTCAAAATACGTAACAAAAGGATGAAAAAGTACATGTCCGGCAAATCCTCGGTTATAAATAATAATACGTGATATGGTTTGTATAGACCAAATTTTTTACCACCAAGTATCAAGTATAGTTAGTATCTGAAGAAAAGATAGATTACTTAGTTTAGTTTACTAAGTTGGTTACTTACTTACTTTACCGAGCCAAGCCCGGCCGGCCCAGCTGAGGGGTATCATGATACACCTACTTAAAAACCAAAACCATACTTCTATCTAGATACTTAGTATTGATATGATATGGATACGACGAAAAGTAAAACCACTAATGGGAACGTATTTATCGAAAATACTCTTCAAGGTTATGATATACAAGTTGTACTTACTAGGGTATTATAGTTAGCAAGCGATATTTTCTGTATTTCGATGCATATTTACTAGTACCTACCATCTAGGATGAACTTACTATCGTGGACGCAGTTGTTCTATAATGGGAGTACTATTCATTATTTAATCAGACTAGGTGGATATACGAAACGAACATTAATGAAGTAATAAGGATAGATAGTATGGGAAAGTTGTTAGGAAGAGATGAGGGCGATAATGGTGATTATTCAGAGCGTCGTTACTTTAATAGTTTTATCTCGGTGGTGATGTTATTAAAAGGTATGACAAGATATTGAAAGTTTAGATTTGGAAGGTAGATAATAAATTAGATTCGGGGGGATATGGAGTGATAATAGATAATAACTCTATCGAGTATTTATTGAAGAGTTATATTAGAGTGTTTCTGCTCTTGCGGTCTGGATATTGGAGATTGGACACATCTTTGTGTAGATAATTCAAGAAGTGACAGATGAGAGACGAGAAGAGCGAGAGTCCCCTCGTCGTAGGCAGTAATATTCCGTAGATCCAGGAAGTAGTATGATGATATAGCCTGTTGGTAGCAGAGATAACAGTTATGAAGGCTATCCCCTCCTTTGTCTGTAATAAGAAGGAAACACAAGTATATCGACTCCCGCATCTTCACCAGCTTGAACCAGTGGCCTAAAGGCCTCTTTGGCAGATGAACTTGCATGAAGATTCGACCAATACGTCTGGATTTCCACCTCCTCGAGATGCGGAAACTTCTCCTTTCGATAAGCCACCACCTCCAACAAATTGGACATGACTTGATCCGTTTGAGAGGATTCGAAATGTGTCATAGCTAGGTATTTCAAACTAGGAGGCAGGATCTCTTTAAGCGATGATACTCTTGGTCGGTCATCACTCAAGTGGAAATTCAACAGAGTGGCGACGGGAATCCGGAGATCACATAACTTAGTGAAATCCGCCATTGACCCGAACCAGTCGATTGGAGGCGGAAATCCATTTTTCACATCCTCGTCAAATCCTGAGCTATCCTTCTCCCCTCTGTCGTTCAGATAAAGGACCTGCAAGCTGTGCTTTTGGGTACGAAGCGCAGAATAGAATGCCCGAGGACGGAAATTCATAAATTCTTCTGCAAATATCACCGAATTCGAGTGTTGATATTTGAATTTCTCGAGATTCGCACATGATGTGATGAAGTCCGCCATGCCCTTACTGCCATTGGGATATGCACCGAGGTCTAGTTCGGTCACTGGAGATGTTCCCTTAGCAGGCTTATAAGCTGGGTGATCAATTCGATCACCCACAGACTCAACCACATTGTCCAGCGTCACAGACCGCAGAGATGGGAGGTGGAAAAAAGGGAGAAACTCGAACTGGGGCCAAAATGCTTTATGGTCGTCCGAGGAGTTCATATAAATATTGTCCAACCGCTGTAGGATTGGCATCGTGTCAAATGGCTTCTCACGTATTGCGGCACGTGAGATAACTCGATGGAAGAATTTGAGATCCCACGTATAACCCACTAACAATTCGGTCATGTTCTCCAAGGATGCTGACAACAGTAGGCCAAGCCATGCATCTTCATTGCCCTCTATCAAAGCTTCCTTCCATTCTTTCGTTTCCTCCTCTGAATGGCTGATCCGATTCACAAGCGGTAGAACAGAAGTAATGTCGTGATTTTGCTTATCCCCTGCACCTCCGGACCACCATTCTAACCTGAAATCTTTGATGGAAGATCCTATCGCGGGGTTCTCCTGAATAGCCAGGAGAAGAGGGCGAATCTGGAATCCGTCAATCCAAACATAGTCGTAGACCGCCTTAAAGAGGACGGACCGCCAACGGCGACAAACCAGGAGGAACTGGTATTTATCCTTAAACAAGACGATATTGTCAACAATAAGGAGAAGAAGTTCGTCCGGTATGCGATCCATCATGTCAAACAAGGCAGATCAAGGAGATGAACAAGTCCGGCATCAGGCGGGTAAGGATTTTTCTGCTTCTGTCTGGACCCCATTTTAGCGCGAAGGTTGAACCAGACGGAAGTGGTTGAAGCTAAGCCAGCTGAGGTGGGCTCAGGATGAGGACGGGGGCGAAGAGGGATGAACAAACGGAGAAAGAGTAAAAAGAGAGCGAAGTGAGTCAATTCATTTGAACCCAACAACAAGAACCTAGTATAGAAACCCATCCCAACAAGGAAGGGAAAGTACCTTGAAATGGTAATTACCCTGAGAGGTAACGGGTGTTTCTGATACGCAGTATACTTTTCTGGTCCGCATCTAGTATACTGATTGATTACTGTTGTTTTCCAGCCAGAGAGTTATTACGCGGATTAATACCGCCTTATGCCCGTACTTTTTGCCAGGACCCTGTATTTTATGCTTAGCGGTTCGGTTTCTCCCAGATGATCCACTCCGGAAGGGAAACTTACCAACTAAGCGACATAACGTACATACCAAAGAACGCCTTGGACATTTCTCCGGTTTTTTTCCCACATTGTTGTGCCAGCACAGCATCCTAAAGATGGCGCAGGATTTTTCCTTCCTTTCGCGGAGGAATTACAGCAATCCCTTGCTGCCTTCAAGACACATTTAGTTCATTGGTAGGGAATGACCAGCTCGGATCGCAGTGGGGCTGATAACATTAATGCAACAAACAAGCCTTTTCTTAATCGAACCATGGACACATCCATACTACCCTGGGAGAGGAAACGAACATGTGTTGGCACGTGTTAGTATTACTTACGTTCATTCCGAGTGGTACAGACTTTATTTACTACTAGTTATTAGATCGCAGGAGTCCGTCCTGAGTAGCCGATTGGTCGACAACCAACCCATGTTCTTTCCGCAGGGCTGCATATGATGTATCGCTGCCCGGCAGTTTCATCCGCAACAAACCTGCTTTACAGATCGGATTTACTAATGTAAACCGACACACGCCTTGTCAACCCGATACCTGTGCCAGTTGCAGGTTCGATACGATGTGACCAGTTCTGAAACGGCTCTGTTACTTTCTTGAATCATAAGACATGACACACAATCAAATGACCTCTTCGGCCAGAGACTTCAGCGCGTATCGTAAATACAATCTGAGAGCATAAGCCGATACACATCAGTACTTATGCAGTATACTGTGAGTTAAGTATAGTCAAAGCTGAAAAGAAAGCTGATTCTTGTCTACGTTACTACATTCAGGGATAATGTCAACATCAGATATCTACAGAATTATTATGCCTCAGTTCAAAAGCCTATATAATCAGTTAGTAAATGGTGTTGATGTCACTGGATCGTCGTAACGTACCTTTCTCGGTGTTCCCCTCACCCATACTCTTACTGCTGCTGCTGCCACTTTGGATAGCCCCGAGAATGCCATCCAGGTATGGAGCACCGCTCCATTTCTGATGGGTCAGCACATCCACGCCCAGCTCCTTCTCCCGTGCCTGGACCATCCGGACATAGGCAAGCATGCCTTCATCCTTGAATGCGCGCGAGAGTTCCGTCGTGATGGTTGCGTTGGTGTGCAATCCGGCGAGGGAGATCAATTGCAGAACAAATCTATGTTGGTCAGCTACTGTCGATTTTGTGTTCAATGAGACTCTTCACGTACCCATGTTGCGCTAGATCCCAGATGAAGGACTTCAGAGAAGCTTCATCAAAGCCCTGACCCATCCAGTTGAATGACGGGCTCAGGTTGTAAACAAGCTTCTTGCCAGGGTGCGCAGCGCGCACATCACCTGCCAGCTTCGCAGCCTTGGCAACATCCGGATCACCCGTCTCGACCCAAAGAAGATCCGAGTAAGGTGCGAACTCCTTGGCTCGCTTGGTGGCAGCCGCGAACCCAGCACGATAATGGTAAAATCCTTCCCGAGTGCGGGGGGTATCGCAGGACCAAACGACCGGTGTCTGGGAATAGTCGTCTGCCAGTGCCCTGCGGCGAGAGATCGAAAGGTCGGGGTTCTCTTGGACACGCTTCTTGTATGCGTCGCGAGCGGACTGAGGCGCACCCTCTGCCTCAAGGTGTGCATCGACAGCTGAAAGAGTCGCCGTTAGCCAAGCCACATAAGGAGATACCATGAAACCGTACCCTCGTCAAAAGTGACAAGCTTGTGTCTCTTAACCCAGTCCATCTCGTACGCATCAATTTCTGAAGGAGCAGCTCCCTCTCGCTCCATGGCCTGCAAGGTCTCTGCGAGAGGTTCCACATTCTCCGTAACACCGAGGAGGAACTCGTGGTCGCGCACATCGATAGCACTGCTGATCAGACGCCCGCTCTCCGAGTCCGTACGAGCAATAACCAGGTTCTCTGTTCCCATCATATCCCACTGGAAACGTGCCGCGACAAGCCTGTTGATGTGGTCTCCAATAGGCACAAGGACCTTGCCAGCCAAGTGACCGCATTTCTTACCGCCATGAAGCTGGTCTTCGAAATGAACAGCCGCAGCGCCATTCTCTGCAAAAAGCTTAGCCAGCTTCAACACGGCGGACAGCCCTCCGTGCCTAGATATATCAGCCAATCAGTCCTCAATCCCTATATAATATGACATACCCTGTATCACCGTCTGCAACAATTGGACGTAGGTAGTCGACGTATGGTGTATCCTTCCGTTGTTCGGGCGTGAGCTTCCGTCTAGCATCCCACTGCTTCCGATCGTGCAGCTGCTGGGCCTTGAACAATCGTTGGACCTGGTTTGGAACGGTATTGTAAGGATAGTCACCAAAGTCGGGCGACACCTCATTGGTAGTAGTCAACAGGGAGGAGCATGCCCAGCCAGAAATGTACAAAACCTCTTGGTTGGGTGCCTGCTGGGTCATCTGTACAGGGTCAATAGCACCCACTGCGGGGAGTTAGCATGTGCAATAGATCACGATATGAGGAGTTCAACTGATGACATACTGGTGTGAACTGGCTTCCCCTCAGCTGCTCGCTCATTCAGCAAGTTGAAAAGCTTCCTGGCCATCAACGAGCTCGGGTAGGTCTGCTGCAGCGAGCCTCGTTTGCTAACGACATCTGCGGCTGAATAGGGCCGCTTGATACCCTCGAACCGCGGTGACGCCCACCAGGCTTCCACATCTTTGATCTGTTGCTCATACAAGGCATCTTCAGCAGCACCAGCCTTGTCAACCGTCGACAAAAGTTGGTATGAGTCGCCCGGCAGTGCGGATGACACGAGGGGTTCAACGGGGGGCAACGTTGGTGCCGACATCCGCGGATAACCGCATGTGAACGAGCGCAAGGCAAGGCGAGATGGACTGCCGGCAGTCGAAGTGAGAGAAGGGATACGTCGAGGAATTCGACGAGGAACTGATCGAAGCATCGTCAAAACTCAAGCAAGAACGGATAGCGAACGGCCTGGCATTGAAGGGAAAGGGAGGAATGAGGAGGGATGGAGTGTCTGATGTTTGGGGGACACGGTCCGTTTCTCGGTCGGCCGATCACCAGCCTAACCTCGGTCTGGGGGCGGCAATCCACCCCCCGCTTATCCGCGGTCGGCATGGCGCCTTTTGTGGCTCCACAGGTGGCTGGGATAACGGTGAGATTAAGCTATCCGTGCACTCCGTTCTCGGTAGATACTAAGATCGAGATAGGATAGAAGTATGAACTCGCAACCACTTCGTACAGTGTCTGATTATCATGGCTGCGTGCCGTTATTCTACCTATCTGACATACATTACCCGCATGGCAGCAAATATTGTCACATCGAGTAATCCCCCATCTCATGGCCACATAGATGTGTAATAGGATCACAATGCTCGAAGCCCTCTCTCATATGCATCCCTCAGCATTTGGAAAGAAATCTCAGCAACAGGATCTGTACGGCCCGAGATTGTCACCAGAGTACGAAAGTCTCTATCTGCAATGATCTTGCACATCTTCTTATGTTCTTTCTCTTCCCATCCGGCTTTCTGGCACTCCTATAACAACGGAACGTAAGCATAAAGATTCATCTCCGACCCTGCATCAATGCTCCAAACGATTCTTCATCCTGCTCACCTTATCACAATACGTAACCACACCACATTTCGCACATCTCAAAAGAGGCTTATCCTTCTTCCCACAGCCATGACACTTCTTGTGCGTGGCAAACCTGGCCGGCCAACATCTCATCTCGTCGCTCAGCTGGAAGAGCACTTTCATATTGCCAGGGAAAAACTAGTAGGTTGAGATCACTGGTTAGTACTTGGTGTACTCGAACATCTTTGCAGTACACTCATAACTATACCTTGAAATACCCATAGTGCTCCTGCCGAACACCCACAGTACCATCGAGAAAGAGATGGCGCCTAGGAAACAAGATAGCCATAGTATTTCCGGGCTTCAACTTTGGATCATTCTCAATGGATCGGCCTCGATCACCTGTGTAGAAGGCCACAGTGACAGGCGAGTCGGCCCTATCGAACGTTCTCAGCACAAGGCGCGTGATCCGTTCGATACTGACGATCTCGACGAGTAGACATCCGCAAACTCCGCCGCCAGTTTCAGGACAGGTATAGTCTCCAGGGAGATCCGAAATGGAGGGGAACACGCTTTGGTCTGCGAGGGAGGCGTAGTTGCGCGGCATCTTTGTGGGATGTTGCGGACGGTTTGTAGGTAGGTGGTTAGGTGAATCAGAGGATCAAAAGACAAGACAAGGTAAATAGGTAGATGACCCTTCTAGCATACAGATGCTGAGAAGAATTTCCTGGTGGATGAGGAGAATCGAAGTTGGGGTTTGACGCGATAGTAAACATGGTCGATCCACCCCGACGCGTTGCTCTTTGAGTGAATGATATTTTCTTCTATAGACATTACCTATGCCTAAGGGCAGTATTCGTTCCGAGGACAGTATTCGTGGTCCTGAATAGTATAACATCTCATGCTTCCTAGAACCCATACCTTGCCATAGCGAAAATTAAGCCAATTTTGCCATTACCCCTAATACTTAAGTAAAGAAGATAAGGCTCATCTAGGTAGTCTTAAAATTACGTACAATCATAGACATATCCAGGATACTCCAATGAAACCGATATAATACAAGACCCAGCTTGTAACCCCCTGAAAGAACTGGCACAACTGGCACAACTGGCACAAAGCTCTCTTCAGGTGCATCTGCGTGCATTCAAAGAAACAGCGATAGTCTCGCAACACAAGGAATATATCAACGCCCTTCCCTCACGCCTATACTCTGATGCGCATGGCAATCTGCCACAATGCCGGCTAGGATCTCGTGAGCCAGACTCGTCTCTATATCCAGAGCCTAGACTTTCCAATTATGAGAAGCTCTATGTTGTGAATGACAAGCTGGCAGCTGATCATCAGAAAAAGCCCGCCACCTAAGCCGAGCTTTCATATCCAACAAAAAAGATTTTCAAGGAAATAAGGACAATGCAAAGAGGGGACGGGACGAAATTGCCCTCCTTGAAAGATAGAATAGTAGTTGTGCAGTGATCTGAATCGTCCTCCTATTCTTAGTTCATCATATTATGAGTAGTGATTAAACAATATTAGAAGTAGCCCGCTTTCCCGTAGGTCAGACTCACTGCTTTCATGCAGGTCGTAGCTACGAACAGCGCCCCAATCTGCCAGCAGGGCAACCTTAAACGCGAGGAAAAGTGGAACATAATGACAACTCTGAATGACAGAATTACAGGGGTCTTGATAAGCCCGAATATCGCCGGTGGTAGGTAGTACAACCTTTTCACTACAGGAACAGACCTTGTAGACTGCCTTGACACATGCAGGGTAGCTGTGTGCTTGATCGAAAAACTCTGCTACTTACCCACGATAACTTCTACGGCTTGTTCAAGTAAATCGAAATATAGACTCATGTAGGCATTCGTGATAATGCAAGGCTCATCAGCTATGCCAAATATAGCCCACGTAAGGAACGGCAATGCCTAAACCCTCAGTTATCGTAGCGGTGAGACGCAACGGCCCGCCAAGAAGAGGCTATTGGCACCGAACTGTTAAGCCAATAGCAAACAAGCGAGATTCAAATCCGGGTGGCGCACTCCACTAGACCTTTATCAGACAAGGTTCTCGGATCTATAATCAGTGGAATCGCCGACGGCTCTTTGATATAGTTCCTGGCCCTGAAGCGGGTCTTCGTCATGATTAGGGCATCCTAATACCATCCCTTGCACCGTCGCGCCCCATCACTCGGATAGATGATTGTGATTTGATACCGAGAGACGGTGTTTTCGTACACGTGATTTCGTTGGTCACTAGGGTGCCCAACAAATTGTTCAGCTGGCTTTAGTCGCGTATCTTCAGCATAGGGTCATACATATGCGCCTAGTCTCCATTAAATTGGAGTAAGTGGTGAGTTATTTAGTAGACCGCGTCGCGGGATTTGGATGAAGGGTGGCGGAACACTTCAGAGATTCGCTTTGTTATCTTCATGTGTGTATCTGGCGGCACTGTTGCACAAAATGACGAAGTCAGCATGCAGTTGTAGAGCATGGTCAATCTTGATCCCAGATGACGAGAAGGTCGAGGGCGAACCCACGCGAAGAGATAGGGCTTCTGAGTTGCTGGTTGGTTAAAGAGTCATGGGGCCTCAAGGCCGGTCCTGGGTTGACCCCACCATCTTCGACTATCCTAATTGGAGCAGGGTTCACCTAGTAAGAAAATGGCCGAAAGAATTCGAAGATACCATTTGGAGACCAATAGGTTCGTTGTGGCCAGCCTCTCATCCGACTTGTTTGCTACGTGGTAATGAGCTTTCTTTGTGTGATCCAGTCAGCGCGTTGTTTCCGGCGTCCGAGCATTCTGTACCAGCCAAAATGGCTGATATTATGAGAGACAAACCGGATTTTGTTACACTATTCTTTGTTGTATACCCCACAGTGGCGCTTGGAGGGTAAACTGGTACTTAACCATGCTATGCCATGACATGTGTCCTAAAACTTAATGTAGGCGCTGACATGCCAGTCTTGAATTATCTCGAAGTGTTTTTTGTCGATGTGGGATATGGTTTGTCGGTCTTGCGGTTGAATCGGCTATGCCGGGGAACACTCTTCCATCTGTGATGCAGTAGATCTGTTCTGAACTGATTTCGAAATGCCAATCGGAGGAGCACGCTAATGCACCATGGATAAGAGCAAGCACGCGGCCCTCGAGCGCAACCAACGACGGAAATTGTCGCCCATATACATACGTATGGTGCTATTAACGCTTTGATCCTGGAAGATGTTTTTTAACTCTATATACTTTATTGAGACACTTGCATACTCAACTTTGCAGATCTCAAAGCATCGGGAGTTGCAGGTATTGGTCGAGTCACTGAGGTGTTGGTCATGGGTTCGTTGCAGATAGAAGCTGAGCCAGGAGAGTCGCTGATGCAGTGGAGTCAGGAGGTTTCCACTTTTGACTTCACCATGCCTTCCGTCGTTGCTGCAAGGAGCAACGCGAGGAACCTACTAAGTCTGCAATTTCGTTGAGCTAACATTCTTGCAGGAAATTGCCTTGGGGGTGTGGAATATTCACTCTCCAAAATGGACAACCCGGTGCCCAAATCTGGTCATCATTCACCCTACGGTTCAGGGCTCCCATTTGAGTTATGGAGCCCAAGTGTGCATAGGCAAGCGTTGTGTATCAGAACCACGTCTCCTATCGAACCTTGTGGCTGCATGCGTCTTCTCCGAGACCAACCTCGACCAAATTGATTTGTACCTATATAAGGAAGTAAACTTCGCATTTTGAGAGCCGTACCCCAAGCTCCTACATACCAAATACTCGAAGCTAGCCATGTGTGGACTAACAGCTTTTCTTGCCCTCCATGGGAGGTCTGACTGGCAGCACGACGAATATACAGATACTGGAGACCTGGAACAGAAGGTCAACGACAGTCTAGACCTGATTAGACACCGAGGACCTGACGCTCGAGGGCAATGGCTTAGCTCGGACTGTCGAGTTGGTAAGTCCATATAGCGTCGTGGAAAGTGGTATTCTATAAACTGACACGGAGAATCAAAGGGCTTGGACACGTCAGACTTTCAATTATTGATTTGAGTCCCGCCGGAAACCAGCCATTCCACGACAGCGAAGATAATGTTCATGCCGTTGTAAACGGTGAGCTTTATGACTATGACCGTATCAAGGCTGAGCTGTCGGGCGAATATGACTTCAAAAGCAGAAGCGATTGCGAGATTGTCATTGCACTTTACAAACATTACGGAGAGTCGTTCCTCTCGCACTTACGGGGCGAGTTCGCTCTAGTCCTATGGGATGCCAGGCGACAGCTGTTCATCGCAGCCAGGGACCGATACGGAATCAAGTCTCTCTACTATACAGTCATAGATGGCCGACTAGTGGTTGCCACTGAGATGAAATGTTTTCTGTCTTTCGGATGGAGTCCTGAATGGAATGTCGCCAATCTGAGGGAGAAAGGCTGGCTGTATGGGCCCCAGATGTACTTCAAAGACGTGAGCCGAGTGAGTGACGAAATCAATACGACTTCTTTGTACCATGGATCACTGATCATGCAACCAGGTCGGTCCTGGCCAGTACCTCGTTAGCCAAGACTTCAATACTCCTCGGGTGAAATCGTACTGGGATCTTGACTACCCCGATAAAGTGAGCAAGCCACGCTAGATGCTAAATAAATACTGACTTAGACCTACACAGCACCATGCCTACCCGCGCACAGAAGAAGAGACAGTAGCCAGAGTCCGGGAGCTTCTTCTAGAATCGGTGCAACATCGACTTCGTGCTGACGTGGGTGTTGGCGTATTCTTAAGTGGAGGGCTGGACTCTTCGGCGATTGCGGGTATGACGGCACATATTATTCGACAAGGCCAGAGCCTAGGCAACGATGCAAGCGGAAATCTCTCCAATCTAAGCTGTTTTACGGTCCAGTTCGAAAAGACCAGTGGCTTGGATGAATCAGGTACTTGTCACTGGTCCTCCATGGTTCCACAATCCACTTACCAGTTCCAGATGTCGCCCGGAGAACGGCAGAATGGCTAGGAGTTGATTTCCATCCAGTCCTTATGGACGAAGAGGCCATTGCTTCCAGACTAGAAGATACAGTGTGGCATACAGAGACACCCATACCCGACGTGAATGGAATGGGCCGCTTAGCCCTCGCAGAGGCCGCCCATGCAGCCGGCAAAAGAGTCGTTCTCACCGGCGAGGGGTCCGACGAGCACTTTGCTGGCTATGCAGACTTCATATGGCGTTACATACTGGAACCAGACCATTCATGGGCCTCATCTGACACGATGGCCGAGCTACCGGAGGCACGGAAGGCCGCCCATGCGTTAATCGCAAAAGGCTTTCTAGGCGCACTTCCCCCTCCTTCCGATACGGAGGCTTCACGAACTCTCAACGATAGTTCCGTATTTCCCAGATTCAACGCATTATTCCAGCCACGCTTCCAAAAGTGGGTCTACAAAGACAGCCACAACCGCCCCGAGTTGTTATTTGCCAGAAGCTTTAGTGAGAAGGTCCTTGCAGACGTGGCTACAAAGTGGCATCCGTTGCATTCATCAGAATACCAGTGGACGAAAAGTGTATTGGCCAATTATATTCTCCGGTATCTAGGGGACAACATCGACATGGTGTACCAGATTGAGTCGCGCCCGCCCTTCCTTGACCATCACCTCACCGAATATGTGAACAGGATTCCCCCCAGTCTGAAAATCAAATACTGCTCTGTAACAAAGACCTTCCGTGAGAAGCATATTCTTCGCGAGGCAATGAAGCCATTCGTCACCGAGGAGGTTTATAACCGCACTAAGCAACCTTATGTCGGTCCAACCAAGTACAGAAAGAATGGGCCGGTGTATAGGATTCTCGAGACGTTAGTTACAGAGGCCAATGTCAGAGCTCTGGGTTTCTTGGAGTGGCGTGGGGTACAGGAGGATTTCGTGAGAGCCTTTCGCGATCATGATACGCTGTCATTCAAGAATACACTATCGGTAGCTCAGATGGTCGTTCTTGGGAAGCGGTTCGGGGTGAAGACGGCGGAAGATCCCCAAAGAGAGGCGGTGACTTATGAAGGGACTGAGAATGCGATGCTTAGGAGTCGGTTGTAATATATGCTGTGTTGAGACTCAAATAGATAGCAGAGCGAATGCAGTGACCTGAAGCATTGTTCAGCTAGTTATGGCGTCTTCGAGGACCCGTCAGTATCAGCCTTTGGGCATGGCAGTGGGAGTCAGAAAATCGGATAGTCAAGACGGCAGGCTTATGGCACACTTCATGTAGAATAGTGAGATGAATTAGGATCGTTCACCTGCAAATCCTCTTTGTCAAGAATTGATGGCTTAGGTCATCATCTACAAGAGTGACTAGATTGATTTGAATATGAATGTACTATAATCTCACCGAAGCTTTGAAGATGAGCGGTAAATCTAATATTAGCTTACTCCCCAGGAAAAACTAAGGATGGAGCATCCATCCACATCATCTACTAAATCTATTACGCTATATTCCTTCACTCCCCCCTCCCCACCACCCATCACGCAAACCCATTCGCCTTATTAAACTCATCAACCACCTCCCTCGTCGCCTTCACAATCTCCAAACACCCCGGCGAATCCGAATGACAACAGATGGTAACCGGATAATCCTTAACCCCCATCTGCACCACCGACCCATCAACAGCCGTGGCCGACGAATCCTCCACCTGCTGCCTCACATGCGCCTTGACATCCTCGATCTTCCACGGCTTCTTCTTCCGATCAATCACCAGCATCCCATCCGGCCCGTACTTGACATCTCCGAACAGCTCCGCCCAGAACGGCACCCCCAGCTCCTTCGCCGCCTGCTCCATATATGTTCCTCCGAGTCCCACGACCGGTACCCCAGCCGGTATTCCCCTTATGACGGCCCGCGCGACTTCCAGGTCGCGACACATCATGCCGTAGAGCACGCCATGTGGCTTGACGTGGTGGAGGGGGATGTTTTCGCGTGCTAGGAAGCCTTGCAGTGCTCCGACTTGGTAGATGACGTTGGCGGTGTGTTCTTCCGGGCTGAGCTTCATTTCGCGTCGTCCGAAACCTTGCACGTCGGGGAGGCCAGGGTGGGCGCCGATCGATATATTGTGCTTTTTGCACAGGGAAATGGTTTCTTGCATTATTAGGGGGTCACCGGCACTATATTGGGGAATAGAGGGTTAGGTTCGGGGTGATTGTTTGTGGTTGAGAGAGAGCTGCTTACTGGAATCCGCAGGCTACGTTGGCCTGGTCGATGAGGGGGATGAGTTCTTCGTCCGGGCCGCATTTGAAGTTCCCGTACCCTTCGCCGAGGTCGACGTTGATGAATACTTTGGTTCGTAGGGGAGGCATGGTGGTGTTGGTGGTTATGAGGTTTAGAGATACCCTGTATGTGTGAAGTGGGTGACGATATATGTAACTGTTAAGCTATTGGAATACGTAGGTTCCATGGTCCTGTTAAGTGGGGTTGTTGGAGGCGGGGAACTGCCTATCGTAGTGTTGCGCTGCATTGGCTGCATTGTGCCTAAATTTTGGGCATCATCACGTATGCCGCATAAAATTGACTTCAGTGGCAACCTGGCATCTTTATCGATGCCTTGGAGATCCCCCAAAGCCAATGTCTTGGAGGGATTACTACGACCCACTTGCGAGGGGTTCGCTGTGTCCGTCCAAAATAGCGTGCGGAGTAGGGATCCATTATCCCCTCATCTTCCCGGCGCCTTATCTCTCCCTCCCTCCCTCCCGCTCTCGGGTTCAGATCAATGCCGAAATCGGTCAATAAGGACCAACGCCCAGGTGACATCAAAAGCTCGACCATTTCAAACCAGGTTCTCCTATGATGGCCCCCACGCCAAAGGACCCCAATGTAGCCTTATGTTGACACAACCCAGATAGTCAGGAGCGTACAAAAGATACTCGTGAAACACGTTCCGCACAACTGGGCACGCAAAATTCCAAATACTTACTGCGAGCATGCCGTTATCCCGTCCGGATTGCTATTTCTCCAAAGCAGGGAAAGCTTAGGTGTTGCACCTGATGCTAGCTGTGCAACTGGGTCTTGCACACAACGCCGGGATGCATTCGGTTGCCGACCAGAGAGAGAGCCATTCGAGTGACGTTGAATGTCCCGGGGATTGGAACAAACACGAGGCCAGCAGTCATCCTGGAGACCAGCTTGATTCTTACTCGTGGATCTATCCGAGGGCGGAAGACATTGTCTAACATCTGGGAACAGGCGACAACCTTGTATAATAAGTCTAGACCATGGCATTGTAGTTGTATTCCTGGCAAACGGACAGACTGTCGGGTCGACTGACCACATGCCCTCCTTGGAGTTCCGCCATGCTGATCGGAGCGTTCCATTGCAGATGGCACTTGTCTAGAGAATGGGCAGATTTTGAGACGAGTTGTGATTGAAAGTCCGGTGCTGCTGATTGTTTGTCCTACCCATTGTGAAGCGGTCAACCGTTATCCAGGAATGGATGTTTTGGATGGTGTGGGACCTAGATAGGATAGACGGACGGTAAGTCAAGTAGTAGAGGGCAGACTGGAGCCTGTTGCCTACTGGGAGAAGTCTGTACAATCGTAGTATCTTCTGCTTTGTGCTTCGGTGGCTGTGAAGTCGAGGATAAGCCGGCAGGTGACAAGGCGAGGCGGTCGAATAGGAAGGCGGGGATTACCTCCCTCCACCACCCACCAACTGCAATCAACTGCTGTCGCCCACACCGGCTGAACCTCTCCGATCCCTCTCAACTTCATCCTGCTCCCTGGTGGCGTCTGTCATCCTATCCCCGCCTCGCAGCGTTGTTTCAACATCGTCTGTGGTGTCCCCTGTGTTCAGTAACCCCTTCTTGAGCAACTGCTGCCACCTTTGTGTTTTTATCTCAAATAAAAAAAAAATGCATTCACTGGTCGACGGGCATTCTCGTCCTCGCAAACCGTGGCGTTTGTCTCTTCCCCTCCCGCCTCCATCCATTATCATCGAAACCTGCATGAAAGGGAGTGTTCTAGCTCCAATCGCCATGCTTCCAATGGAGACCCGGCTCTTGTCTGAGCTCCTACCTCGGATCGACGAATCCGCGTCGCACAACTTGCACCAGCTGTCTCCGCAATCTGCTGCTCTAGTGCAACTCTTATCACCTGGAGGTCCCTCTCTCTCCTCACCGTCTGGGGCCGCCTCTGGGCGTTGAGTTATCTATCGCACATCCAGGCTTTCCCTATCTTTCTGTTTCCCTGCCATCGGACAGTCAAAACAGCCTTATCTGCTTTGGAAGTCTCCACGAAAGCTGTTCGATTGCTCTCCCCTCTTCCCTTCCCACCACCTAGTTGACGAGGCGAACCCCGTCCCTCTTTCCTCGGACAACTATATTCTTCTCCTCATACTTTTTATGACACGTTCCATCTGGAATCGTTTATGTCATCATCACATTAGATTCCGATATGGAAGACATCAACATCCCTCCCCCATCTGCTATTCTAGACGTTCAACGTCCCTCCGCATCGGCTGCCGGGCATTCCAACCCGTCTGTCTCTCCCAAGAACTCGACTGCAGGCCAGCGAGGTGCTGCCAAAGATCGTAGCAAGCCGAAGCAGACCAAGAGCCGTAACGGTACGGTATCATTACTTTTCTACTAGTTTTAGCGCGATGGGCATGGGGGGCGACAGATGTGTTAGAATAGGAGCACAAGAGGCATGAGCAGAGTGACAAGGGCACAGACGCTCCATAAGTCGCAGCGCGCTGACGTCTTATTGTTCACCTTATCCAGGCTGCCAGACTTGCAAGGACAAGCGATTGAAATGTGACGAGACCAAGCCAAGTTGTATTCAATGTAGGAAGCGAAACGTGACATGTGAAGGATACATAAAGAAATTCAAATGGCGCAACGGTTTTGGGCAGAAGAATTTCGTCGGGGGCACGAATGGCAGTGCAAATACAAAGAAAGGTATGCTAACAGCCCCAGGCCATCTCAACTTTAAGGTGTATTGCTGACGTTCCTGTAGCTATCCAATATCAGTCTAATGAGAACCCAAGTACAGAAAATTCAGGATCCTCTATTCCACAGAACCAATCCAGGGCATCAAAGTCACAGCAAGCTGCCTCTAGCCTTCCTTGCATGGGCTCGGGTTCTTTTATGGATTTTGCTGACCTGACCTCGAAGAATGCATCGCCTTCAAAACGCACGAACAGGCGTTCATTCAGCGACAAGGATTCGTTTGGCAACCCAGATGAGTTTATTGGTCAGCTGACGCCAGTGAGCTTCAATGAAGACATTCTCGCATCGTCATTCACAGACATCTCCCCTTCAGACCAGATTTCTTGGATTTCTGATGTCTCATTGGCTGCAGTAGAGCAAAGGCCGGGGAATGGGCGCGAGCCCAAACGTGACCTTGGGCGTAACAACTCATATGCAGAAGAAGGTTTTAGCTTCGAAGAATTGATGGAGGTTGATGATGAGGATATCGAGGAGATAGTAAGAAGGCCCGACCGAAGCATGAAGTCCGGGCGGCCGGAGAACGCCGACATGAACATCGCTACGCACCAGGAACTATTCAACATCTGCAGGGAACCCAACCTCGGCATTGCAAGCCCAGAAATGCTGGTTCTGCAGTTTGATAGGGTGACGTGTGGGATATTGTCTGTAAAGGACGGTGTCCACGAGAATCCGTGGCGAACTTTGATCTGGCCGTTGGCTAAGGAGACTCCAGCTCTGTATCATGCTGTGTTCTCGCTTGCTGCCTTCCATTCAAGCAAAGAGTTTCCAGCCTTAAGAGTTCACGGTGTGGATCACATGCGCCAGAGCATCACCCACCTGGTGCATGACATACGGAACATGAGGGTTGATGCAGCATTAGCGACAAGCCTGGCGCTTGCGTTTGCCGATACCTGGGACCAACACACTCGTACCTGCATTCAGCATTTGAAAGGTGCCAAAGCACTAGTCTCACAAGTGGTGGGGCTCGGTGCTCAAGGCGAAATGCGTGGGATTAACCTGAGCAGGGTGCGTTTCCTTTACAACACGTGGCTGTATATGGACGTAATTGCTCGCTTGACCTCTCGTGAAGAATCGGGGGATCAGGAGGTGAATGCTCCCTTTTTCCAACTCCCAAGTCACGCTGTACATGAGATTGATCCTTTGATGGGCTGTGCAACGACGCTATTCCCTCTCATAAATCAAGTGGCTCGGTTGGTTCAGCGTGTACGCAAGACGACATCCAATTCCATCTCGCTCATTTCGCAAGCCATAGAGCTGAAAAGGCTTGTTGAGCAGTGGGAACCACCGCAATTCTTCGAGCCCCCAGAAGACCCATCTTCTGAGGTCCAGCATAGTATTCAAACAGCCCATGCTTATCGCTGGGCAACACTGCTATACCTTCACCAGGCGGTGCCTGAGATGCCTTCGGAGCCGACCTCCGAGCTTGCCAAGCGCGTGCTGATCTTGTTGGCTACCGTTCCTTCCAGTTCTCGAACCCTGATTATCCAAATGTTCCCTCTGTTAGCGGCAGGATCCGAAGCAGAGCAAGAGGATGATCGTCAGTGGGTGTTGAGCCGGTGGGAATCTATTCAAACTCGCCTCATGCTGGGCTCAATTGATCGCTGCATTGAGATAGTCCGCGAAGTCTGGGCCCGCAGGGACGCTTTCGAAGATGAGAAACAACGGTTGCGGGGATCGTCTGGGCGTGGGATCAACTCTGTCATGGAGACTTCGACGAACGATAGAGTACCTCTCACTAGCCTTAGGCCGAATGATCAGATGGTCCGTAGTACCTACGCCAAGGAGCCATGGAGGAGGACGATCCAGGAGGAATGGTTGGCCTCTAAGGCTACTATTGGAAACTCGCGACGGAGCTCCGCTATGTCCCCGTTGGAGAATATTGAATTCGAAAAGACGGTTCGCGGCAAATTGCATTGGATCAACGTAATGCAGGATTGGGGATGGGAAGGTATGTTTGAGCTTTTCTTGTTGTTTCATTGAATCTGCTTTGCTATTCGTACTTGTGGAGAACACCAGCTCATTTATATAGTGTTCCTCGGTTAAGACCAGTGCTAGTGTGTTCGACACGAGCGCATCTTCATCACCGGGCGGGGGCGGCCAGCACGATCGTTATTCTTGCTTCCTTTCCGACATGGCTGCTCTCGCTGAGTTTGTTGGTCGGAATTGCTCGAGCTGGTATTCGTCTCGGACTCTTCGGCTGGATCCTCTGTTGGAGAAGCTGGGGGCTTATTCTTAGCCAGATACGATCGGAGGGATGCCAGATAAGGCTCCAAATCACTCGTTATGGACACAGTAGTAGCCATGGTTGCGAGGGCTGTACAATGATTGCTTGGAGACGATTGAACGATTGAAGGGATGATGGCGCGACGGAGAATATATGATTCTTGGCTTGTTTGAATGGGTATTGTCGCGCGGGGTCTTACACTGGAGCTCGAAATCAGCAAGGCGTTCTGCGATGAGTGTAGCAAATAGTCACATTCTTTACGGGACTACCTGGAAGTTTTGTCAGGTCCCGGGGTGCTTTCTTCTGGAATGAATTAATGTCGAGCTATGGCGCGTCGGTGTATGGTCTTGAGTGTCGCTAGGGAAGAGCAAGAATTCCGACCGGGATTACTGGCAGACTGAATGGCGCATGGGACAGACGATAGTAGTTCGCAAGGGGAGTGTACTATGAGTACTAGGACTGACTGTTTGGCGATTCGAATTTAGGTCTGAATGGGGGCAGACAGGCGATGGTAGGCGGGCAGTCGCAGGGGACAGTTTTCTGAAAAATGGTCGATCGTATACAACTGTCTACAAGATGAACAGTCGGGGCGTATATGCGAGTCGACGATGGTTATGCTGCTAGGAAGTAGTTGAGGGATTTCTGCGTGAGGAAGAAGATCTGCATTGGGTGGCTGTAGTGGTTGTCCGTTGTTTTTTGTTGCTTGGGCTGTTCGATCGGTGTGCTTTTCTTGTCGATAGTCGAGATTTCCTGTCTCTCCTCTGTCTTTTTCTTTTCCTTCTTCTTTGTTTCTTCAAACTACCAGAAAAGAAAAGGATCAGGACTGGCAAGACAAAGGTGGGAAAAGCCAGCGTTTTTAAAGACCGGCCGATCCCCACCAAACCCGCAGGACTACTACGGGCTTAGTTCAGCTTTGCGTTTTACTTGCTTAGGAAAGGGAAAGGTTGAGTTAGTTTTTACTCTGCCTGGTTAGTCAGTTAGTTAGTTAGTTGGTTGGTTGGTTTTCTGTTTTTCCTCTTTTCTTCTCCTGTCGTGGTCTGATTTCGGATCTTGCTTTGCCTTGCATGGTGGGGGGTGGGTGTTGATTTGAGTGGGAGAATTAGTATGCAAGTAAATCTGCGGATGAGCTAACCTACTTTTCTTTTCTTTCCTTTCCTTTTCTTACCTTGTGGAGAGTTCGGTGGTGGGTGCTGAAGATACACACTCTTCATAGGGGAAGAATCCCCGGGTGGGTGGGGTGAAGATGGAGAAGAAAGTGACTGACTGATGGATAGGATAGAATAGGATAGGCTCTTGCAAGTTCGGGTTCGGCTTTACTTAACTGGGCAGGTGGATGATCATTACGCTGGAAGGGAAGGGGAGGGGGAGGGGAGAGGGGCTCAGACACTGGCAAAGTGCATGTGAGCTGTTTCTTTTCTCTTCTCTACGAAAATAATGAGGGTATGGTCAGGTGGATTGGACTAGTTAGGATAGATAGTATAGGGTTATTGGAATTTGATTGAAGTCGTCATGGATGATGAAGATGACGAGTATGGTCAGTTGCTTTGCTTTGCTTGTTCTGGCTGTTGTTGGATTTCGTGGTTGAGTATAAGATTTGCTGGGGTGAGACGGGGTCAGCATGGAGGTGAATGGAAGAGGGGATGGATGGATGGATGGATGGATACTATGCGAGGGGGACTGACTAGTAGTTAGTTAGTTAGGTGACCTAACTAGGTAGACTACTACTTACTAAGTAACCTTGATATCGTATCGTATCATATCATATCAAATTCCACGAGGATTGGTCGGAAGTACTAACCCATCTGGGGTAAAATATCCTGTTCTTACTTGCTTGTCTGCTTGCTTGCTTCCCCTGCCGTGCGTCGGATGTCCATCCATGCCTTCCTTGCCTTACTTGGTCTTACTAACTAGGCCTTGGTTCATTTTCGGATGTGGTATCCTATCTATTCTAATCACTTTCTAGGATAGTCCATAGTGGTACTCCGTACATACTATGCCTGTCTCTATCAGTAACTTTCAAGGGAACCCCGGTTCACTCCTCTCTTTCTGATAACATTTCGGAACTGAACAAATCCCCCTCATCGACTTTACTCTGTTTACTTGCTTGCTTACTAACTGACTACCCCTCAGTTCGCCAACACCTACTGTGATCGTCTCAATCTATGTCTACTACTTAATATGTCGAAGCGTGCTATCTATCCCACAACGGGTGTCGGATCCGTGGGAAGAGAGCCAAACAAACAGCAATAGCGAAAGAGAGGAGAATGGGATCGATTACTCCGCACGAGTATAGAATCTCCGTTGTAGGTAATGGGATAAGAGATGCTCGAGGATAATGTCGGAGAGGTGTCGGTATATAAAATGCCAATATCCTCCCAGTGTATATATATCTATAGAATGGAATCTTAAAAAAACTCCCATACAAGTACCCATTCGTGACTACAAGTACAAACTTCCTACAGCAAACATGGCCATCCCATTCAAGCACCACCCTCGATCTCAACAAATCTTCGAGCCTCCGCTCATTGCCAATGAGAATGCGTTTCTGGGGGATGTGGATTCGAGGTATATACCCCCATTCCATTGCATTACACATACCTACTAAGTACACTGTTTTATTGCTCCTTGTCGCATGAGTAAAAACAAACTACTATATATAAGTTGTCAATTAGACACTAAATACGGAATGTATAGTGACAGCTACAACCCCGAAAACCCCATCTCGGCCGGCTTCTACCGTCTGGAAAAAGGCACCCCGCTCGTTTACGAATACACCTTTGATGAGATGAAGATCATCCTGGAAGGCAAGTTCGAGATCTCGGATGAGACCGGTCAAAAGGTTGAGGCTTTCCCTGGGGATGTGTTTCATTTTCCCAAGGGGAGTAAGGTGACTTTTACGACGCCGTCTTATGGGTTGGCTTTTTTTGTGAGTATTCCTTTTTTTTTCTGCTTCTTTGTTTTTCAACCGGTTGCTGACTGAGGGATGATGGTAGACGGGACAACGGGCCAAGACTGTTTGAGTGATGATGTAATTGGAATATTCTGGGTTGTGTTGAATTTATTCCTTGCTGTTAAACCGGGCTATTTATTACTATGTATTATTGAGAAAGAGAGGGGGGGGTTAGTCTAGTTGATGGCTGGGAGATGAACCATGGTTTGGAAGACAGAAAGGTTCCACTGCTTATGGGAGCGGTTCCTTGGTTGTGTTTACGGGAAGTGTAAACAAGAACCAGGGCGCGATGACGCCGGTGTGGATTGCACCCCTCTTCTCTAAATCAACTTGCTAGTAGTAGTGTTGTTTCAATGTTGAATAGCTTAATTTAAAAGAATGGAATTGTTGTAGTCTGGACCGGAACACTAAGTTGTGTGACTGTCAGTGTCAGAGCTGTCTGTATACACCCGATGGCTGGGGATGAAATTTAGCATCACCACCACCACCAACCAGTTCTCCCCCCTCCGTAAATGATCAACTCAGATCTGCCCCATGGGATCGGAGACGATCTCACCCAACAAGGTTCCAGATATAGAAGGACGACTAGTTTTACCCAGATTGCTGGACACACTAGTTTCTCACCCCCCTCGTCTAAAGGTAGTTGAGTGGGAAAATGACGTGCAGAGACACTCTGACTGGTGGTGGGAGAGGATGACTCCATCCTCAGCCTCACGAGTTCCCCAATCACCAGCCGAAAGGGCGTCAGGAACGAGATTGACTCGCGGCTGGCCCTGGCATCGTAACCAGCAATGGAGAGCAGATGGGATCGGAACAAGGGAGTTACCCCAGCAACGTTGCGATGGTCGCAGAGAGAGGGGCGGCGCAGAGTTGGATCGGTGGCATTTCGTTGGTCTGTTCAGTCAAGAGTGGCTGGTTCTCAGCTGCGGCTCATCTTTTGCTTGCTGAAGTTAAACTGTAAGTGGGAGAAGAAGGAAAAAGTGGATGAGTTGAGAGAAAGAAAGGAAGGAAGAGAGAAAGTAAAGAAAGAAAGAACAGTAAGAGAGTTGAGAGAGAATATTCACTTTCTTGAACTTCCACTTCCTTCCCCCCTCTCTTTCCCCTTCCTCCCTACTTCATTCAACAACTTCTCTCCTCTCTCTCCTTCTTCTCTTTCTCCCTCTTCATCATTCCCAATCAATTCCATCGGGCATCGTCTCTGTCTCCCCTGACTGACTTGTTCTCGTCGGGTCATCGTCCTTGCTTCTCTCCATTCCTGCCCGAACAAAGTCATTGATCTCCTCTTCTTCCTCGTTGCTTTTTCCTGTCTCTCCACCCCTTCTTTGCTTTTTTTAATCTTCCGTTTTGTTTTCCATCCCATTTCTTTTTCCATTCGCTTGGGATTCCGAGTCTCTCTACTCGTGCTTTAATCTCCTATCCCTCGTTCCTTTTTAATCCCCCGCCACGACCTCTTACACCTCGCGGTCGTTATTAGAGACACCCGTGTTTGAGCTGGTCCATACCTCCACCTGTTGAGAACGGTCGCCAGCACACTCCGAGCCCAACATGGCTCTCAATATCGACACCTCAGATCGCCCGGGCCTCCGTCTCCCCAACCCGCCGCCACTCCTTCATACTCGTGCCGGAAATGAAGCTCTCGATCGCCCCTCCACACCCGCTGAAAATGGCTTCACCAGCCCTGTGCAAACCCCCCAAGGGAGTCCCAGCAAAAATCGCATGCCCCCCGGCGCAATCGACCTGCCCAACGTGTTCGAAAAAGCTCTCAAGCTGAACCCCACCTCGCCCACCAAAGGCACCTATAACCACTACAACCACCCCATGTTCGCGCCGCCCCGATCCGGCGAAGACTTTACCGAAAGTGTCATCCGTCAGCCACCGGGCAGTCCCACGCGCAAAGCCAACAAAGAAAACACCCCTCCCAACTCCACCCGTCTCACCAAAGACCTCGGTCCGAACCCCGCGGCTGCTGCCATCTCCCGTCATGAGCCATACCAGCAACGAGATCTCGAGAGTATTCAGCGTCGTCAGGTTCCTATGCGAGGGCTGACCCCGGAGGAGTTGGAGAAGCTGCAGAATCCTAGAGTGAAGCGATTGGTAAATGTGACACAGCTTTGTAGGTGCCATACCTTGCAGGTATACCAGTGTATTGGCTAACTGTTTAGACTTCCTCGATCACTATTTTGATTTACTGAGCTACGTGCACAACCGCCAAAACCGCTATGCGCAGTTCCGGTCTTCCAACCCCGAACCCCCCGCCACTCCGATGGAGACGTATGAGCCCGCTCTGCTGAAATATCTGGGTCGGGAACGGGCCCACCTCCGCAAACGCCGCACTCGACTCCGCCAGCACGACTTTCAGATCTTGACCCAGGTGGGCCAGGGAGGTTATGGACAGGTTTACCTGGCGCAGAAGAAGGATACGAGGGAGGTGTGCGCGCTCAAGGTGATGAGCAAGAAGTTACTCTTCAAGTTGGACGAAATCCGCCATATTCTCACTGAGCGCGATATCTTGACGGCCGCCAAGAGCGACTGGTTGGTCAAGCTGCTGTACGCGTTTCAGGATGACGACCAGATCTACCTGGCGATGGAGTATGTGCCGGGAGGCGACTTCCGCACGCTGTTGAACAACACCGGAGTCTTGCACAATCGCCATGCTCGGTTCTACATTGCAGAGATGTTCAGCTGTATCGATGCGTTGCACGCGTTGGGGTACATTCACCGCGATTTGAAGCCAGAAAACTTTCTCATTGACTCAAGTGGTCACGTCAAGCTGACCGACTTTGGCCTGGCAGCGGGTATGCTGAACCCTGGCAAGATTGAGTCCATGCGGGTGAAGCTGGAGGAGGTTGGCAACACGCCGGTGCCGTTCGGTCGCCCCATGGAACAGCGCACGGTGGCAGAGCGTCGCCAGGGATATCGGTCGCTGCGGGAGCGCCAGGTAAACTACGCCAAGTCGATTGTTGGGTCGCCCGACTACATGGCACCCGAAGTGCTCAAGGGCGAGCAGTATGATTTTACGGTCGACTACTGGAGTTTGGGATGCATGCTCTTCGAGGCCCTCGCCGGATACCCGCCGTTTGCAGGCGCGACGGTGGACGAGACGTGGCAGAACCTGAAGAACTGGCAAAAGGTGCTCCGCAAGCCGGTGTACGAAGACCCGAACTATTTCCTGTCGCGACGCACGTGGGACCTTATCACCAAGCTGGTGGCCTCGAAGGAGAAGCGCTTCAAGAACATCCAAGAGATCCACGCGCACGACTACTTCAGCGAGGTGGACTTCAACCATCTGCGCGAGCAGCGTGCGCCGTTTGTGCCCGAGCTGGATTCGGAGACAGACGCGGGCTACTTTGACGACTTTACCAACGAAGCGGACATGGCCAAGTACAAGGAGGTTCACGACAAGCAACGCGCGCTGGAAGAGATGGCAGAGCGTGATGATAAGATGAGCAAGGGATTATTTGTTGGATTTACATTCCGGTAGGCTTCCCACCAGACTGCTATCTGTATACATGCTGACAGTAACAGACACCGCAAGCCGGCCATGGACGGGCTAGGCCGCGGCTCGCCGCGCAAACCGATCGCGACGGACGGATCATTCGGAACGATGTTTTAGGCTGCATGAATGACGGGAGTTCTATTCGGGCACGAGCTGGATCTCGAGGATTGTTTTAGCGAGTACTTTTAATGGAACGGATACGAAATGGGAGGGTTAAGAGAAAGGAGTTGTGTATGATACAGCTATCGTAGACCTGCATGAGTTGCAGTATACTAAAATCAGAATAGTAGTAACCCCTTCACTCCAACTCCTGCACCATTTTCAGAATCTCCGACTCATTATCTCCAACCACAGCCTGTCCTTTCGTCCAGTCGACCGTCTACAAACCAATTAGCATCCCAATCCCAAAGTATCATCCCCAATCCATAACACCAACACAATCCCAACCATTCCAAAGAATTGGAAATGACTTACAATAGGTCTAACAAAAGTCCCCTCCGGATCCGCCTTAAACCTCTTAACCGCATCCTCCGCATCCCTCGCCCCCCTCACCACCTCCCCGACACCATAAACTTTGCCAATCCCCGCTCCACTCCCCGTGTTACCCCCAGATACATACTCGAGGATATTCCGCAACTGGTCGTTCGTCGGCGGCGCGGTGCTCACCTCCAGTTGGAATTCGCCGCGGGGAGTGGACGTCGTGCTTGCGGCTGTTGTGGAGGCGCGTTGCAGGATCGAGAGGGCGGATTTACTGCTGGGGAGGTTGGGGGCGTGGAAGAGGGTTATGGGGTCGAGGGTTTTGGCCTGTTCAGATATTAGTATTTCCCGGGGGGAGAGGGGGTAGTGAGGGTTTTGGGGGGATGGGGATGGGGTGCAATTGGGGATTGGGACGTACGAAGCGGAAGACCATTTTGGATTAGATTGAATTGAATTGGGTGTATGTTGGTAGATGGTTGTATGTAGGTGATAAGGTTGTGGTTGATGGTATTGGCAGCAGGGGTCTGTTTGTTCTGATGGATGGAGATGATAATTGGAGTGGTTGGTGGTCGGAGGTCTGGCTGATTACGTCATATGGGTTGACTCACTGGAGCTACGCCGGAAGTGTTTTGGTTGCCTGTTTGGGTGCCCGACTTTTTGGTTCTTTTTATTGTTGGTATTGATGGACAGGATGGAGAGGGGGCTATTGCTTCATTAGTGTACTGTATAGGGTTTTATTGAATCAGTTTAATGGTAGAAGTAGATTGCATTTGGTTCAATATCATTATTGTTAAAGTGGTTAGGGTATCATATCATCTAAAACATATGCTATTTACTTATGTGCTGTGTACTACCACCCAAATTGCTCAACATGCAGGTATATCCCCTGCGCCCCCGTCCCCTTATGTACTGCGCGCTCGTCGCTCAGACACACCACGCTGCGTCGCACGTCGTCGGACAACCCCCTCGGTCCACACACCACTACCGCGCTCTCGCCCTCTGCTTTCTCGAGGACCTTGCGGATGATCGTGCGGGCATGTGGTCGACCAGACAGGACTGTAAGATTGGGCAGCGGTTTCTGCGTTGGCTTCGAGTCTGAGCCTGTTGTAAGCTCGCTGGTAGACTGCGGTGCGGCATGCCCTGAGCATGTGCAGGTTGTAGCGTCGATGGCATCTTCATCTTTGATGGGCGCTGTGCAGCAGCATGTTCCGTCTGGTTGACAGCCAG